AGTGCCCACAGCCAATAAGGAGGGAATATGCAAATTGATATGACAAGGTGAGAGGCGGAAGGCAGCTCCAGGCCAGAGCAAAGGCAGAAAGGTAGCTCTGGGCCTGAGCAAAGGCAGCCAGGGGAATGAAGGGCTACTCTTGCATGAATCTTTGTGCATCGGGCCTCTAGTAATACCAAAAGTGTCCCGCAACTTTTATTTGAAACGAGTTCCATTATTTGCTAAAACATAACACTTTAATGTAGTGTATTAATTAATATAAATTCTGAATATTTTTCACATAAAGACCTTGTTCTTGACAAGGTCTCATTAAGTATATGCCAATTCATTTTAAATAATGCTAATAAATTGTTCTATATGTAAAATGTAATTGCAGCACTATAAGAATTCTAAATATCAATATTTTTACTTAATATCAGGTTTATTGCTCATAAAGCTATTAGGTCTTAGTTTGAGTACATATTTGAGCATCTAATGAATGGCATGAAGCCCTTTTCATAAATTTGTGCTTTTAAACATGCTATTTCATGTAACTTCAAAGGATTAAATGTCCTATAGAAGATAGAAGACTTGATAGGTACTTTCTGAATGTATTATTTGTTGTTTTTTCTCTCAACTGAGTTTTTACAGACATTCTTGATGTTTCTTTATTCATTTAATTTTGTTTACTTAATTTACAATTTCTTAGGAGAAAAAAAATATTTATCTGAGAAATTTAATCTCTTTATATTTTTTACATATAATTCTTATATAGTTCTTTATATGTAGGCTGAAAATAAATTATATGTCTTAAAAGAAACAGAATATATCAGATACTTGAAATGTTCTAGACCTTCTAAAATAATAGATCATCCTTTGGCCTAATTTATGATTAAAATATCACTTAATCCCTACTCCTATCAACTGCCCCATTGATTTTAATTTAGGCATTTAGGAAATTTGCATTTAAGAAGGAAAAATTTAAGTGTTTTTAGAATAAAGAATAAATTAAATTTTTTATTTAAATTCATACATAAGAGAAGGTGAGAAATATTATTACTAGAATCCCTCATAATTCATTTTTAGGTAAAGGAAAAAAAAATCCCAAATTTTCTATCAATGAACATGTGCTAGACTGAATAAATATTCAAGAGATGGGCACTTGGGTTCATTTAAAGGTGGACTGTGAAGAAGCAGTAGTTTTTATTTTCTTTGATTCCATTCTCAAAATTCAAGGGAATGGAATTGCTTTTTATCAGGTCTTGTTCTACTACCTAAAATCCTAGTTATGTGTGGATTTTGATATTGCATGTGTATGTGTTCATGTGTGCTGGGGTCCAGCCCCAGCAGGTCCAGGGGTCCCCAAAGGTGTGGACGGAGTCGGCGAAGAACTTCAGGGGAAAATCCCTACCTGGGGAAACAACCTTTCTCGGAGAGGTGACCTTGGACCGGCTCCCGGCACATGTATGCGTTTCTGAAAATTTGGCCCAGAAAAACTGCCCTTGCTAAAGCACTAAGCAGCTAAGCAGGAATCACTATCAATTCTATTGTTTTATTTTTTTCCAGAGATCATATATTCTGTTTTTTTTTTAAATATATTTTTATTGATTTCAGAGAGGGAGAGAGATACAAACATAAATGATGATAGAGAATCATTGATCTGCTGCCTCCTGCATGCCCCTTACTGGGGTTTGAGTCCACAACCCAGGCATGTGCCCTTGACCAGAATCAAATATGGGACACTTCTCTCTGCAGGCTGACATTCTATCCACTGAGCCAAACCAGATAGGGCAGTGAATTCTTTAATTTACCTTCAAGTACAGCGTTTAAGCACAGTCTTCCCTTTCTTCTCAGCTAATTCTACGTGACTGTATTCTTGCACGTACACAAATCCATCCTTCTAGCCATCTTTCTACCGTTCCTTAGCTTTGTTTAGGTTGCCTATGAGCATATTCTTAATTCCTCTTCCCTTTATCTCCCATTGTTTATTTTGAAATGCGCATTATGGCAAAGCTACAAGTAGATACAGCTGTGTCAAAGAGAACCAGTGCCTTGTGTTTCAAAAGGAAGTAAGACAATAGCCAACGCCAACCTCCTGAGTTCTCAGCAGTGCCCTCCAGACTCTCCATCAACACCTCCATCGACTCCCTCATCCTCTTTTCA